CACGTGTCAGGACGGAAAAATGGCTGCCGACCACGTGTCAGGACGGAAAAATGGCCGTACCTCGAGGCGGAGTTCGCACATCGAGGGAAAATTTTGGGGCCGGGGCTGGTCGTATCTCGAAAATTTTGTAAGCAGGGGCGTTCGTAAGTAGAGGTACCACTGTATATAATATCCATTATATAAATGCATTACTTAACATACCTGCAAATAGAATGCTGCTCCAGGCTTTGATAACTGGCTAAGAAAATGGTCATGAAAGCCAGTCCGTAAAATATCTTGAGTGTATGATTCATAAGGATCAAATGCTAGCTCCTAAAGGAAGGATTGAAGAATATTTCAACTGACTCACTGCTTCAAATTATCTTATTAAAATATGATAAACATAAATTCAAGCATTCATGAACTTATAAATCATTGCTTTAAATTAATCAAAAGATAGCCCTGTATTAACACAGATGTATATTTAGGAGGAGGTACCGAATGTATATATTGTTATTTCTAGTTAGAAAGTTGGTAGTGTTTTTGTCTTTCAGTGTTTAAATTGTTTTAAGTGCTTATGTTTATGATCTTTTAAATTAAAAAAACCCTTTAATTATAGTACACAGATACAATTAAGCTTCCTTAAAAATTTCAGATAAGTACTGGGCATTTTCCAATTCCAACAGTGGCCAATTTAAAGAATTTTAATTTAATTTAATTTAATTTGATTTGGGGGGGTCTGGTAATTGAGCAGGAAGTCGGGATTCACTCGATTTTTCAGACTTCAAATAAGGAAAGTATATATAAGAAGGAAGAGAATTACTGAATCTCCAAACTGTGACTTCTTCAAAAAAATGTGCATATAAAGAAGAATTATTCTTATCATTATTGTGCTCCCAATCTCACCTCCATCTGAACTAGAGAGTTATAATTACTCTTGAGTAAAGGTTGACTTCTGCTGCCTACAGGAATATGTCCATGTATTTTCCTTAGTAACTATATGGATGAGTTATGTCATTTCTGGGATTCTTTTGTTTTATTTCCCACTGTAGTTTTACAGAAATACTATTGCTTGGTGGCCTCCCATTAAACTATTAATCAGAGCTGATCCTGCTTAACTTTTTGGGCATCCACTAAGGTCTGCTAGTCCTGCTATTACAGGATCCAGAATCTCTAACACATTAAAAATCTCCATTTGACTTAACTCTGATTATGAAGGATCTCTGAGTACTTGTTGCAATGATTTAAGAATGATATACAAATGTTTAGAAAAGAAAGTAAAATAAAAATTTTCTTTGAAAAATATAAGTTGTTTATGTATTTGTAGAATAGCCTGCCCAAAGTTAATTTGGGAACGAGTGGCTGAAATAAATTCGAAATGGAAGAATATTTCATGTTCTTTGTAATTTCTCTCCTGCTTCAGAAAGTATTATGATGAGGTGGAGAATTTGAGATAATTTATGTTTTTAGAAGTTGTTAAAAGGTTCAGTACAAGTAAATTTTAATGAATTACAACAGTGGATAAAAACAGCAGAAACTAAAAATTAGAAGAAATAAAGTAAAAAATTACAAGGTAATAAAGAGGTCTTTTTCCTGTTGCCAGAACAATAATGGTGTATGTACCCAATAGATCTCTGTAGGATCTGGAAATCTAGGATTGCACTGAAAAGCATACAAGTAGCCCTCACTTAATGACCATTTATTCAGTGACTGCTCAAAGTTATGGTGGCATTGAATGAATGTTACTTATACCTGGTTCCCAAAGTTACAGCCGTTGCAGTGTCCCTGCAGTCACATGATCAAAATTTGGGTGCTTGGCGGCCCGCTCATGCTTATGACTGCAAGGGCATTTCAACTACCCCCCACCCTCCTATCTCCCCCACTATCTCTGCCTTTTTGGCCACCTTGCACAGCAGCACTCCTTGGTGGCAGCAGGGCTGAAATAGAGGGCCAGGGATTTCAGTAGTCTCACCTGGCTGCCACTACTCCCCTGGCTTCTACTTTAGCCCCAGTGTTGTTGCTGCCAAGAAGTGCTGCTTCAAGCCCCATGCTGCGGCCAGCCACCCCAGCGCCACAGTGCAAAGCCCCAGCCACACTTGCTGCCCTGTGCTCCATATGCAATTTGAAGAACAGCAGGTATGGCTTTCTCGCAATACTTTGGAAGGTCTCAGAAGCTTTCTGAAAGCTTTCCAAAGCATCGCGAGAATGGCATGAGCAGCCTTGGGAAGAAGTCCTGGTGTGGCCAGCAGCTACCTCGCATAGGGCCAGGCCAGGCATACCTCATCAGCAGCAGGAGGAAGACCGCAAAGGTCAGCTGGGTGTAGCAGGCCCTGCAGAGCACAGGGCGGCAGGGGCAGTTGGGGCTTTGCGCTGGGGTGGCTGGCTGCTGCACAGGGCTTGAGGCAGCATTCCTCAGTGATGGTGGTGGTGCTAGGGCTGAAGTAGAGGGGGGACAGTGGCAGCTGGCTGAGACTGCTGAAGGCCCCAGGCTTCTACTTCAGCCCCAGCTCCATTGCCAAGGAGCGCTGCTGTGCAGGGAGGCCAAAAGGGCAGAGATGGGGGCAAGATAAGTGGGTGGGAGGAGCTGAAGAGGAGGCAATCCCTTACCTTACCAAGGCTTGGGGCTGGGAGGGACCAAGCTGGGAATGGCTTGGATCAGGGTGGGTCCTTGCCTAACAACTGGTGGGATTCGGTTAACAATGGCAACAGGGACTTCCGGGATTGCTGTCGCTAAGTGATACAGTCATGTGATGTCAAGCTTTACAACCACATCACTTAGTGACAGAAATTCTGGTCCCAATTACCGTCGTAACTCGAGGACTACCTGTACAAGCCAACATAAATATATACTCTTTAGTATCTATATATTCAAGAGGTCATTCTGGAGAGAGGTAGGGGCTTTAAGTGTGTTCCCTTTCTCTTGAGCTCTCCATTTATTTGGACAAATGCCAGGGAAGGGCTTTAGGTCTAGGAAGGAATGAAATATTATTGTACAATAGTATTGTATGATTACAATATTCAGTTCCACTCAGTAGCCTAGCCATGTGTTTGTACTAACTGAAGTTAAGTTAAACACTACAGTAAACTAAATATGATGGCACTGAGACTTAATTGTAGAACTTTACCCTCAACACCTAGTTTCTTTAAATGACTGAAATCTTTGAGAGGTCCAGAAAAATCAACATGATCACACCTCCTCTATCTTTCATACAGCAAAGATTATTTCAGAGGGTAACCAAGACTGAATGCCTAAAACAGATCTTGGATAAAAAAAAAAAGTTTATCTAAGAGTATCTGAAAGTAATTAACCACTATTTGGCTCAAGCATCTTCAGCTTCTGATAATTAATAAGGTTGGGCAAAAGTTAGATTTGGAGTTTAAAGGTGATTTGATCGAATCATCAGCTGCCTTCAAATCTACCCAACAGCTTTTGCATGCCCAAAGTCATTTTTTTCCCCTCTGAATAGAATCAATGTTTTGCGTAAGACTGAAGCTGATCCAAAAGCCCCTGATAATTAACTATTCTGTGGAAATGCAGCCACAGGCAGCACAACCTGCTAAACAGAGTTAAAAGGAATAGAGATGCCATAATTCAACTTTGGGGCCAAAAGAAACCGCTGACAGCATAGCATTACTTTTTTTTTTTTTTATGTATGATGCACCCAAGATCAGAAGAACAAGAAAACAGACCATAATAGACCATTCATAAATAATATTTACCTCAGCTAAATCTTCAAAACAGCTTCCTACTAATGGATGGGGACTGCCTTCATCAGTCATTTCTACTGTATCTTCAATATGGCCTAGCAACTTCACACTAAGTTCATGAATATCTGATACTCGGCTGAATATATTCTCTACATCCTGCAAAACAAAAGTATTGATCAATAGTATCTGGAAGTAGGAATTGAGATATCTAAATATTAAGTTTGTTGATTATAGGAATTGATTATTGTTGATTATTATTCTATACAGGAAATAATGAAATAATACTCCACATAATGGGCTTTCATATTCAACTTTCACCATTTATCTCATTGCTCTATACACAGTCTGCACAAAGACACTCTTCCACCTTAGGCACAAGGCTCTTCAGATTCTGTCCTTTAATTACATCTGTACTTAAAATTCAGATGAGCAAGAGGAAAAAAAAGAGAGAATAGTTTTTTTTCAACTCATGGTTAGTAATCTAGCTTTCTTTAGCCAAGAGTCAATCACAAATGCATAAATTCTGGTACAACTAACTAATGAAACTTGAGTACTACTAATTTATAACTGGTATCATATACCTTTAACAATTAAGGAGAAATACAAAACATCCAAATACTTTATTCCATACAGGATGTTTTGTGTACGTGTGTGAGAGTTATAACATTTCATGGAAGATTATTTGTATAGATTCAGCTTTATTTCTTTACTACTATGCTACATATTAGCAATTTAGGAACTATGATGAAACAAACATTTATGGGAAGCTATACTCATCCAGAATGCTTTTTTTTATTACTATCTCTATAAGAATTATATTAATTGTGTATGGTAAAAAAAAAAAAAAAATCCCCTCTCACCCCTATGGGTGGTATGTGTCTTCCTCAATCTCGGGTCCTCTACCAAAGCCCTGGGACTTTGGGGGTTCTGTGCATTTTCTTTGCTGTTCC